CAGAGAGAAAGAAATAGACAGAGAGACAGAGACAGAGAGACAGAGAGAAACAGAGAGAAACAGAGAGACAGAGAGACAGAGAGACAGAGACAGAGACAGACAGACAGAGAGAGATAAATTGACAGATCAAATCTTGTTATGTCCGTCCCCGATGTGTCCTGACAGGATTAAATCCCTGAGTGAATTCATGTCTTCAGCTCGTACCTGTCTGTGCCGTCACACCTCCGACAATCAGCAACAAGCAGGAAACCAGCTCCGACACTTTGTCCATCGTTTCTGCTGCGAAAACAAAAGTCCTGAAGCCTGAAAGAATCAAAAAGTCCAACGTTGGATTGAGACGAGTGGTTTGTGAAGGTCTGAGCTGAGCTGAGAGTTTCAGGTGTTTTCAGGTGGATCAGTAAACTTCTGTTAATGTTTAACTCTGATTCTCAGGAAGAGCTTTTATTTGCCCCAGTTAATGACGGAGCTGAAGCACTTCCTGTTTTCTCTCAGGTCTGATTCATGTTTAACCCTCAGAGCTGCAGCTTGGTTTTATTCTTAAATTGAACATTTACGTCCTCTGGGAAATTATAAATCCTTTTTCTTTTTAAGTTTCAACATGACCCAGTTATTAAATTATCTGTAAACACAAACACTTTCTTATTTTTAGCATCGATGTTCCCTGAAGGATTTTATCGACTGTAGCTGCCAAACGTCTGAAAACTGTTTCCAGCTGAAAATAAGAATCTGCAGAGACGACCTGAAACGAGCCGCTCGTTCTGTTTCTGTGAGGAAATATGAAATAAATAAAAATCACAGAAACAACGAGAACATCAGTAAAGTTTATATATTTATCGATAATCAATCATCAAACATCAGTTTTCATCCAGCGTCATGAATTATTCTGAGAAATCAATGAAAATCTTTTATTTCAAAATGTTAAAGAAAGAGATGAAAAATTCTGGGATCAAAATGTGATGAATGTTTCTGTGACTCGCGTCCATCAAGTTTCAGATCATCTGTCAAACAAACTCAAACTCACCTCCTGCTGAACGCTTCCTCTTCCACAGCCTCCAGCTACATTTCATTTTCATTTTTCAATTTCAACTGTAAATATGACGACAGATGTTTCCACAGCACAGGAAATCATTCTGCTAAAAACTGGTGCATTCTGGGAATAAACAGAAGTTTTCAAACACTCTTCAGATAAAGAATCAGCTGTTTTCATAATAAACCATCAGAAGTAAACTTCGTTAATAAAACGTGAGAGAATCATTTCAATTTAATATGTTTAATATATAACTGATTCATTCTCTAATGAAAAGATTTTGTTAAAGAGAAACTTGAGGCCCCTGGGGGCCCTGAAGGTACTGAAGGCCCCTGGAGGAACCTGAAGGCCCCTGGAGGAACCTGAAGGAACCTGGAGGCCCCCGGAGGCCCCTGGAGGCCCTGAAGGCACCTGGAGGCACCTGGAGGCCCCCGGAGGCCCTGAAGGCACCTGGAGGCACCTGGAGGCCCCCGGAGGCCCTGAAGGCACCTGGAGGCACCTGGAGGCCCCCGGAGGCCCCGGGTTGGGCCCTGCTGCTACAGTATGACACAGGTGGAGGAGGGTTTGGCTCGGAGCATGCTCATAAAGTTCAGGTTGAACTGGGCGGGGTTAAAGTCCTGGGGGCCGGACACAGAGTTCTGCTGGACGTCCCCGTTCTTGTCCCTGGAGGTGACGTGGTACTGAGCCTTGACGTTCCTCAGAGGGTTGTAGTCCGGACTGACGTGGTCTGGGCAGCGGAACACTTCTCTGATGACGGCGCCCTGCTGAGACAACGCCACGAAGCCGTTCCTGAAGGTCACCATCCTGACCACCGGGGAGTAGACGTACTGAACGTGCAGCAGGTTTCCTGACGAGGACGTAGAAGAAGAACTTGACTCAAATCAAATCGTCAGATCAGAGACACCAGGGGCTGATTTATATTCTGTGATGAAAACATGGCGCCTCTGATGTTAGGCAGTGACATCATGGATTATCAACGCTGTGATGATGGCGACTACGCTGAGAGGGGTGTGTCTCCTCTCACACGTCTTTGATACAGCGTGACTCACAGCTCAGTGTTTAGATGTTTGTCCAAACACCTGGACTTACCCGTCTGAACGTCCCACACTTTGACGGTTCTGTCCTGAGATCCGGTGAAGAGGAACCGGTCGCTCTCGGAGAACGCAGCAGAGAGGACGCCCTCGAAGAGAAAACCCTGAGGTTCATGGAGGGTTTAGAATCACAGCGTCAGTAACACGTGTAAACATGTAATAAACAGTTTATTACACAGGAACATTGAAGCTCATGAAGCAACACACGGACACAAACCTGGAATAATAGAAAATATCAAATAGAAAATGTCTGTAAAGGAAAAGACATGAAATAAATAACAAATGTCTGTTTCTGCTGTTTCATTCTGAACTGTTTATAAACAGATTGTATTTGATTCATTAAGGGATTTTTAAACAGATCTTTGATTTGAATTGTCTGTATTTAGTGAGTAGTTAATATTTGGAATTAAAACTCGGACCTTGTACTCCATGGTGTGGTCGAGGGTCAGCGGGGTCAGGGCCCACAGCCTCTGCACGGCGTCCTCGGAGCCGACCAGGGCGTGAGTCCCCCAGTTACTGGCCATCACGCAGGTCACTCTGCTGCGGTGAGGCTCCAGACCGGAGCCGCTGCCGCTGCTGAAGTCGTGGAGCCTCACCTCCCCGCAGCTCGTCCCGTACAGGAGCCTGCGGTCGGACAGCAGCGCCATGGAGGACAGCGGGCCGTGGAGGAGGGACAGGGGGAACCTGTGCAGGGGGCCCTCCACCGTGGGGAAGCTGTCTCTGGCAGAGATCTCGAACAGACAAACCGAGTCCTCGTAGGCCACCGCCACGTGCTTCTCGTGGGCGCTGACGGCCACGCAGAGCACCCTGCACAGGCTCTCTGGAGGAGGGATGCACAGGGTCTCCTGGGGCAGAGCCAGCGGGTAGATGAGGACGGTGCCGGAGGTCAGACCGCACAGGAGCAGACGTTTGTGCTGAACCAACTCCAGACAGCAAACCTGAGCAGAGACGGACAGACGCTGGGACAGAGAACCTGCAACCAGAGTTTGACATGTCTCTTTATAAACTGTCACACTCTGTCCGTACAAATTATTATCATGTGTTAACAGTTAATATTGTTTTATAGATAATATATCTATGAATCAGAAACAGATTTTTACCAGGAGTGGAAC